TTAATGATAATGTTTAATTAGTCGACAATATGTTAGCTATTTATTATCCCTTGTTAGAATATAATTTACTGCAACGACCAACGTACCATTTTATCAACTAGCAATAGTAACAACAGAGTGAAAGACTGCATTAGAATATGGAAAATGGCACTTACTTTGGAAGCATCAAGAACCATCAGTACTATGTCTGAAGATTTAGCAACAACAATAACCTGAGAGAATCAGAGAAAATTCAGAAAACAAAAGTCCTGCGCTGTTAATAATAAGGAAGCCATGCTTTCCAAAGCATTCAATGAAAAGAACCAAACATCACATTCTACTCGGGACAGAGAAATTTTAGTTTTACCTGCCTCCCACATCCCTTGCCTTCAGAAGCACCTTCAATAATTCTAGGAAGATCAAGTAACTGAATCTTAGTATAAATTTAATGTATAATCCCAGGAATACATGTCAGAGTTGTGAACTAAACTAAAATTAAAATTAAACTTTGCTAGCATTTGAAAATAACACAACGCAAAGTTGACATGAGATTCAAGATTTCTACCAAAACAATAATCACAGAATGCATTGCAGAGAGAAATGTAGAAGATCGATTAATCTGAGTCTGAATAGAAAACAGCGTTATATAACACGAAACAACAAATAATTTATCCCCCTACATATCCTCAAAAAGCTAGAACATACCTTTTAGAAATTGAACAAAACAAGAATTGCAGAAAAAAGAAACAATCGAGGAAAAGCGGAAACAACATGCTAGGTTATAGGCAGGAACGAATTGATGCAGGAAGTGTTAATTGATTGGAAAACAATCATGCAATGAATAGAAAGGCGTCCAAACAATACGAATCACAGGCACGGACCATAAAACCTAGATTGATTGAAGCGAGTAACGCAATAAGCAGAGTAACAGAGAGATAACAAAAAAATGGAGAGAGATTACGGTTTGAGCATTGTGCCAAGAGAGTAATGCACTCTAAACGTTGACGGATAAGGTGGCGGTGAGGTAAATGGTGGCGATTCCGAGTGTGGCGGTGAATGCCTTGAAAGCATAATCTCCAACCCTACCTGCTATTCCCATTCTCACCCAACTCCACTAGGTTTTCCACACCCTCTATTCTATTTTTCTTCTACTTCTATACCCTAAACCCCCCTCAAATATATATTTTTTTGTAAAAAAAAGTGTAGTGCGATTCTTCTCAAACAGATCAATACCTTTGGTATTCTGCATTAGCAATGTTTTCAAATTAGAAATAAGGTATAATATTTATTAATAAAAAAATCTAAAATATTTTTTTAAAGCTTAAGATTATTTTAGTAGTTAAAAATATCCTTTTAAAAAAAGTATTTCTTCAAAATAAACTAATTCAAATACCAACTAAATAAAATTAGTTTAATTGCTATGTACCAGCACCTAAGAAGATTCACACAAAATGTCAAAAAAAAATTGATATATACGAGTTTTAAAATATTAGTTAATATAATTTTTTAAACATATTATATTGTTAAATATAAATATTTTAAATTTTTTATTTGATAAATTTAAATAACTTTTATCTTTATA